GAGGAAAAATAGGAGTTATTTAACACTCCTTCCCCTATGGGACACCTTTGAACTCATGCAAAACTGCACACACACAAAGCACAAGCTGTATACATTTCTGAATTCCAGCAAACCTGTTTCTAAGTTCAAAATATGTGACCCTGAGCTGCCTTTTCATAAAGCCTCACTGGGAAGTTCTAATTGTGCTTTGAGTTCACAGATGTGGCTAAGCCACTTCTCATTAAACTTTCTACAATTCCATGAACCCTTTGACATGTATTTTCACATGTAAATATAAACACTGTCAAGCTTGTGAAACTTTGGTTCATTCTCCTCCAGAGGAGAACAAGGATCAACCAAACTCAAAAGGAAGCAGCCAGCTGGGTTTTTTTTTTTAAATATGGTACAGGCTCAATCCCATCCAAATACCCATTCCAGATTACTGCTGGAATCTGCTGTAATAACCAGCAACTTTGGCTTTTTCACTCAGCAGAAAAACATCAGGGTTTCACTATTAATGCCACATTTTTAAATAATATGGGTCAAGGAAGAGGAAACAATGATCAAAAAAAATCCCAAGGAAGTGTTGAGTATCTCTTTATTGAAAGACAACAAACACAAGTGAGCCATTAATAGTGGCAAAGCTGGGGGAGGGAGGGAGGGGGAGGGCAGAGGGGATTTCAATCAGCCTTTTCATGTTTTATTCATTCTTAGGTAAGAAAGCCTTTCCCTCTGGCCAGTTTTTGCCTTTACTAACATAAGCAGACAACAGGCATTGCATACATCCACTGTCAGATTGCTGCCTTGATTATTATTTCAGTTGTCACACATGGACAGCCAACCCAAGCACTAATAAAGTGGAATTTTCTGTCTGCAGGTAGACAAAACAGCTGCTGCAAGCCAGAGATATTCAATCTTTGGTCCACCTGGAAAATTCATCCTACTTGCAATCTACTCCTACCAGCTTTTGACCACTGAGAAGTTCCCTATTGAGCCAGATGATGAAAATGGAATATTGAGTGCACTGAATTGATGGAAAGAAAAGGTCCAGCTGTGCTGTCAGGTCCTTCTTGCCTTTAAAAGAAGCTGCACATTCTGACTTCACCACAATGCTGGAACTATTTCCAAATTGAGCATCTGTAGTAAATGCTGATTTGTAGCATGAATCTTTATCAAATATTAATTAAACCCTAATATAGGAAGACTTAGTAAGTAGAAAAGCACAGCTTTAAAAGCTGTCAGTGAAATGTAACAGGCATCTTTTAGAGCACAGAGATGTGTGTGCTATGAAATGTTAATTACTGCTCTTCTTTCAGGTGGTTGGCAGAGATTATTGCTAAGAACCACAAATGCAACAATTTCCAGATTTATCCAACACCAAGAGCTCCAAGACAACCTGCAGAGTACAGCATGTATCATCAGGAAGTCATAGAGACACAGTCATCCAGGGTCACTGAGGCTTTCTCAGACACTTATTTATCTACATGAGCTATTTATCTCCAGTCCAGCCTTTTCACCCACAGGCCCTTCCTTTTGGCAGGAGGCTCCTCAGGAGTCACTCTGAGTTTGCTGCCTGCTTCCTAAATCAAAAACCACGTGAAAGGGTGGAAATGTATTGCCTTTGAGGGGGAAAAATGGTGGGTGAGGTGGGATTGTGCTTCAGGCTGAACAGAACACTTCACAGGCTGAGAGACTAAACTAACCCAAAGGAGTGATTTAACAGATGTGGCCATGAACTCAGCTCTTTCACTTACAGTCCTTAAAAATGACTTGCATAAATATTTGTGCAATTAATCCAACCTTAAAACCATTCAGAACTTTTCACTTACACAGCCCAGTAAACATTTCCAGTGTAAAAGAAGGGCTGCACGATCAAACCTCGGGCACATTTACAAGCACAATTTGGACTCAGATATCCCACTGGATTAGTTTTAATCTACATTTTTTTCCACTTACTTCAACATCAAAACAGCCAGTTCTCTTAATTTGTTTGCTCATTTTCTTCCTGTACCTGTCACTGTGATCTGCACTTACTGAACAGTTACAATTATCCTTTTTTATTTGTTTTTTTTTTTTACTCTTGGCCAAAAAGAGCAAGTCTTCCAGAACACATGTATTTAAGGTTTATAACAGTATACCCATAAAAGTGTGGTTTGCTCACCTGTCATTTATGCAGAAGATAACACTGAAGAAGCAAATATTGATCTTTTAAAAAGTAGCTTTTTCAACATCATGCTCTCTTTGTACTCTCTCACTCCCACCACACTCTCTGGGGTATATATTCTGAAATTTCATGCATACCATAAAGTATCTTTGGAATGTTACAGTATAATTGTTTAGAGAAACATTTAATGGATGAGTAAGCATCAAGAGGCCAGGGCTAAGGGAAAAGTTAAAATGCTGGCAGCATTTTGTATTGAAAGATCTTCTCAGCATGAGGACCGGGGATGGACATTTGATCCAAAAATCTGGTATTGACTCAAGCAAGAAAACAAAACAAAACAAAACAAAACAAAAAACCCAGCATCCAGCCCAGAGGTGTCTGAAGGCACTTCCCAAAACATCTGCCTCCAACCACAGCTCCCAAACCTGGCTCTGGGCACTGCCCAGCAGAGCAATCCAGGGCCACAGGAAATTATTTGATCAATAACATAAACATTCTGATAAACAACATGATCTTGATCTTGACAATTGGCTCTTTCTCCTTTTGGAATTGGTCCCTTGGTTTCCCCATTTCCAGCACAAATAATCTGCATGTGCATGGTGTGGAAATGCAGCAGAAGTGACTGGAAAGAGCTGGGCACTGAGTCCAGAAAGAGCTAAAAAAAAAAAGCTAAATGTGCTTTCACTACAGGAATCTGCTGCAGATTTATTTAATTTACAATGTGCTGTAAATTAAAACAAATTTTCCTCAATTCCCTGAAGGACTGCTCCTCTCAGAGGTTCTGCAAATCCATTAGCACAGGTCCATCATTATAGATTTTTTGGGGTTTATGTACTGAAGAGAGTTTAAAAAAACACATACACACAGAATAAAGCATATGATATGGATAGATGAGGGGGACCTTAGATAATTGATTCATACCCTGATTAAATTATTAGAGTACAACTGAAATTGTACTTTTACTCCCAATTCCTCCTCTGTCCCACACTGTTTTAAATAAGAAAAAGCAAAATAATTATCCCCCTATGTGAACTTCTAATCAGAAGATTACAAAAGCAGAAGTGCCCCATGCTCACAGAAACCAAGCAGCTCTTTCAGCTCCAAAGCTGGAAAAGCCAAGGTGCCCCAGGCTCGTGTCACAGCTGAAGTTTGATAATTGGGCACCTAAAATCTCCCTCAAGGGGAGTCTGTGGTGTTTACCAACATGTGAATTGGAGCTGGTGCAGCAAAATTTCTCCAAAACTTCAGACACTCATGGAATTCTCAGAAATCTACTGTCTTTGAGGAACTTCTGTTTCTGCATTCAACTCAGTGGAGAACAGGTAGCAGGATAAAATAACGAGGAACACACAAATAGTGTGAATCTATGAAGCTCATCTTGTTACACTCACTAAATATCACAAGTTCTGCTGGTTCCAAACACAATGTTTGATCCAAAACTGCTAATCTACCTGTAAATTGTGTGATTCGAAATTATATGTAAAAATAATGCATTTATTAAGGCTTTAAGAGGTATTAGTAGCATGCAAGATTGCAAGGGACTTCCCAGGTCATCATATTTGCATCCTACTATTGGAAACAAAATATTAAATAATCTCTTCCAGAACACATTGACCCCTATCTTATTTAAAATGAGGGTTTTGGTTTTGTTCTTGGGTTTGTTTATTTGTTGGGTTTTTTTGCATAATCTCAAAATCAGAATATTTGTTTTAATTTTCCACTCAATTCATCAAAGACCAAGTGGCCATTTAGCTGAAACACTTCAGATTGTGTAGGACAAGCTTTTACATCCTCAAGCTTTTCTTTCTTTTCACCAGAACAGTGATCCAGATGCTGTCAGATAAATACACTGGTTTAAATCTGTGTTTTTTCTAATGCCACACTCACAGGCAAACCCAAATATTCCTTGGGTAACTTTTTCTGTAATTACTCTGCCTTGGTGAATTACAGGGAGCTGTAATACCACTGGTGATTTTAAAACAAGGTCTGTAGATTACTCCTTGTGTTACAATGACCATAGCAGGGTCTGTCAGTGTTCTTTTGGAGTTAGGGTATAATGGAGTTCATAATGAAGTCTAACAAATAAGGATATGTTAATCTTTTCAACCACTTAAATTCAAGGAAATCAAAACCAAATGTCTTTCTAACACAGCATCCCAAAACCCAAACCCAAATACTTGGATCTCAAAGCCTGCTGGGATGTTTTCTGCAAACCATCCATTAGATTTCTTATATTCTGTACAACATTCCTCCACAAGCTGGATTGATTTCTTCCACAGCTTAACTTGTTTTTGCCAAAGTCTCTTTTAGTCTCTATTTTAGTTCAGCATTGGCCTCCTGCCTAATGAAACAACTGTTCTTTATGCCAAAAACTGTCATCTTCAGTTGCACAAGATGCATCTCACTTACAAACAATGTATAATGAGCTCAATGTTTAATGCCTGCAGAACTGCTGTTTTAAAATCATCCCAAGCAAAACTTAAACAGATACAGGACTGGTCAGTACCTTGGGTGGGAGAAGAACCATTCTCAAGGAAGATTTTCTTCCCCCTTTTGTATTGAAATCCACTTTTTGAAAAGAAAACCTTAATTTTAGAACATGAAAGCATATGTAGCTAACCCAGGCAGCAGTGAGACATGTGAGGCTCACTCCAAACCTGAAAGCTTCACTCTCACTCAGGGTGAGGCCATTGCTCTGTAATGATCACTGCACCACAACCTTGGCTTCTCTTGAACAAACCATGTTTAAATCTGATAACCTTAATAACCTATCAACTGATGGACTGAAAACAGCCCATCCAAATGAAGCTGTTATGCTGTTTTTCTGTAATTTCAGAGCCAGCTGGAGCAGGGGTACCTGTGTAAGGAGCTGTTCCTGGCTGAGGCCATTGATCCAGCGAGTGTATCGTCCAGTGGAGTCCAGTGGCTCTCTTCTGACTTGGCAACCAATAATCTAAAGCAGAATTACACAAATCCCTCAGGTTAAATTCTGTACAGCCACGTGGCAACAAAACAGTATCACAAAACAAACACTCAGAACGTGGCAACTCCAGGAATTACCTACACAGTCCTTACTAGCCCCCTGCTAGGTTCATAAGGTAATCTCTGTTCAAATGTTAAATAGTTACAGACTTTAAAGGTCTCCAGGAAACACTGAGGTGAATCTTTCCAATAACTTCATTTTTGGGAACATTGGAATCATTTTGGTTGAAATTTTCAAAGGAAATTTTCCATAGGCAGACATGTAGAATGCAAAATTTCAACCAAAAGTTACTCCAGCAAATGAAAAGTGGAACTTGAGTAACACCAGACAATCCTGCCAACAGTCCCATAACCTATAATGCCTTCTATTACTTTTAATTAATATAAAATCAGCAAAATCCCCTTCATATTCTGATTTGTTTTGTTCATGACAGAACATTAAAATCAGTGACCTGATTTTAATTTGGTCACTGAAGCACTGTCCACCCATGTGAGCAATGTCTCCAAATCTAATACTATTCTGTAGCTGTAGGGGTTAAATATGAATTTTAATATTATTATGCCAGTAGGTGTTCAGAAAGCTTCCAGTATGTATCAAAGAATATCAGTAGGATCACATATATGCACAGACACATATGAATGCAATTTCATGGAAACACTGAACTGTTCACAGATCTCTGATTAGACAAGGAAAAAGCTGAGGAGAACCCCAGGAGTGTGACTGGACAGAAATCTGCTGTTTGCTCTTCCTGAAATCTGCAGTCTACACAAAACCTGCAGGGTACCACAGGACTCAATTATTCATGCAAAGTATAAACTGTTTTATACCAACTGTTTTATACCAACTACTGCACTCCCATCATGCTGTAACTCTCCATTCTCTTCCTGATTTTTAAGGTGATGCCCACTGAGGATGTGCTTGTCCACTGAGAATTAACACCACAGGTTTTTAGTGTTTCTGAACACTAATTTCTGGGAAGTTCTGTTCAAGAACAGGTGGGAAACTCCCTTGGTTTATTTTCTACCCTAAGCATTAATAAATCTTCCAGGTATCTTTTTTTGCAGAGCTTTAAACTGCAGAGGAATGTGAACAGCCAGGCCAGAGCTCTGCATGTGCAATTGTGAGTACTTTTGATGTGGGAACAAAAACACCATAAGAAGATCTTGCTGGGGCACTGCTGGCAATGAAACATCACAATTTAGAATATGATTAAATACAATCAAAATAACAAGCATGGAGAAAAAGAAAATGTTATTTGCTTATCCCAGAAGAATAAACCAGAATGTCTCTGAACTAGGAAATGTTTCCTCAATGATGACAACAAATTACAGTGGAAAACTTCAGCTTCATCCTAACTTAACCCTCACATTACAGCTAAGTAATACTAAGATATTTTCAGAAGGTTAACCTAAAATTCTTTTACACTGAATATCAATTAGAAGAGTTCATAGAGATGTTTTTTTACAGCACATCACAGAGATAAAAACCTGCAAAAGTCATGTCAGGTGTAGGTCTATCCTGTGCTGCAAGGATGGTTTTTATTTAAAAATAGAACTCTTTCTAGTATTCATGAATCAAGCCCTCATTAGTCTTCTCTTACTTATCCTAGATTTTTCTAACTTACAAAGACACTTACAAAACTGCATAAAAGGTAAAAGGGAAAAATTACCTTTGTTTTATAGCTCAAGCTATTCTCGAACAACACAAGATGGAAATTTAGTTTCTTTATTTAAAGAGTCACAGTGAAGCTGAGCAGATACAAAGAACTTTGAAAAGGTGAGATATTAAAAAGGAGAATTTCAATTTTTTTTTTCTGAAAACCTGGTTCTCAATTACAGCCAAGTAGGAAGTGCAGTCATCTCTCTCCTGGCAGCTTGAAATTTAAATTAGAAGCAGAGGACAGAGTTGCACATTTTTATATTCATTTCTGAGAAGACTGATAATTTCATAAATGCTGTTGGTAATTTAAGCAGACTAAAGCAAATGCTGAATCCAGGTGCTCAGCTAAAGGACTGCAATTCCCTGAAGTCCAAGAACAACTGGTTCAATTCCCAACTCCTCACACTTGAAGAGGAAACTGAACAGATTTGATCAATTATCTGTACACACATGAGGAGAGGTGAAGGCAGACAGAAGTGCCATTAAATTGGATCCTGACAGCTCTTTTCTGGATTATACATCACTGTTTGTAATTTCTAGAGTTTGACTTCAAGTCTCAGCCAAAATTCCCTCCTTTTTCATCCAGCCACACAGATAATTCCATTGCATGCTCCAATTTACTTCTCTCAATTTTAACTCATCACACTGGTTCAGTACTTACTGTATTTCAGGTCTTAAAATGCTTTGAGCCTTTTGGAATGAAAAAAAAAAATTAGGTGAAAATCCTCATCAAATAAAGTTGTTATTTAGGAATTACTGGTATTGAAGTGAGAAAAATCAATGGGTTACATTGAATTTAGCCATAATTTGGAGCACAATCTTTGGAAATGTAACTTTGGAATACAAAAGGAGAATAGCTGCAAGCTCATTAGCCAAGTTAACTGCTGTAGGAAGTGCTGTGTTTGCACTCCCCTCTGCCCCAAGAGCTGCTTTCCTCTCATTTGTAGAACCAGCACCACTCAAAGCCACTTTTATCATCATTTAATAAATTTGTTCTACAGACAAATGTGAAAATTGCCAGGGTGCAATCAAGTTTATTTCCAGCTCCTCAGCCCAGCAAATCCCCTACCCCTGTGCACTTCAGCTGTGCCATTCCCTCCCCATGGGACTGTGACTCGTGACTGGGATTTTTGACTTGTGCCTGCAAGATAAACACCACCGAGCTGAGCCTTTGATTCAGCATCTGCAAAGCCCAGCTCGTGTAACCAGCTCCTTGCACACAATGAAAATCAGATTATTTACAGCACAAACAGTTTCCTGCAGCTCCCCTGTGTAAGGTGTGGCAGCACAAGCAACTGCACACGGCTTCCATTTCCTCCATGCCTCACAGAGGTTTTATATTCACTGAATGTTTCCTTAGAGCTTTCAAATTGAAGTGAAAAGTTTTTCGCTGTTGCTTCTCTCATGACATTTAAAATACTTTGATAAAAATCTTTTGGGTGTATTTCACCCATTCAGTCCTTCCAACAAACTGCATTAGAAACATTATTTTAAGTATCTGTTTCTATGCAAAACTAGAGTTCATCCAAGTTTTAATTTTTGATCTAATTAGACAAGTTTGTTTTTATTATTACAAATGCCGGAGTGTGGCACATACCTGTACCTAGATTAAACTATGCAATATATACAATAAATGCAATTAGCATTTATTACAAACTGCATTAGAAACATTATTTTCAGTATTTTGAGTATCTGTTTCTATGCAAAAATAGAGTTCATCCAAGTTTTAATTTTTGATCTAATTAGACAAGTTTGTTTTTATTATTGTTTTTATTATTACAAATGCTGGAGTGTGGCACATACCTGTACCTAGATTAAACTGTGCAATATATACAATAAATGCAATTAGCATTTATTACTATTTATTATTATTTTTACAGCACATCACAGGGATAAAAACCTGCAAAAGTCATGTCAGATGTACATCTATCCTGTGCTGCAAGGATGGTTTTTATTTAAAAATTATTATTCCAACTGGAAACTTGCTGAAATGCAATATTAATATTATTTGTATAGGAAGCAGTACCATGAACAATGAATAACAGAAATTTCTGGCTCATAGCAAAGGACAATGGCAGTTCAGGAAAAAGTAAAATTCTCATCAGGGCAGAAAATCCTTTATGCTACCACAGCAACAAGGTAATTTGTTTTCTAGACAGATAATTACTTTTTTAATGTATTAAAGGTAACTTAGAGGTCATTTAGCTTTTTATTTAATTGCAATCAGCATTGGTGTCTCTGGAAAAAAATATAAAAGAATTTATCCTTTATGACAGCAAGAAACAGTAATAGGAAGAACAGTAAAAGCACAAAATAGGGGATTTATCTGAAGTGCCAACAAATACCTACACTGAAAGGCAACACAAGTAAATTTTATAAACAGAAGTGGCTTGAAGTGAGCTCTGTGGGGAAGAAGTGGCCAAATGCAGGATCAGTTTGTGGCCCTACAGAACTGCTTCACCAAAAGCCTCCAGCATCTGCCAGTCCTGTCTAGATGGTCTCAGACAGGGGTAAAAATGGCATTATTGGTCTGTATTTAGGCACCTGAATCTCTCTGCTGTAATAACTCTACCACTTCCCACAATTAGGAGTGGAGTTAATGAATTGTACCTAAATAACATTATCAGAATGAATGTCACAGACATGCTCTTTATGCCACTGCATTGAGAACATCTTCAGGAGTTAGGGAACTGTAAAGCCAGAACAACAGGATTATGATACAACTAAAGCAGCACAAATAACAATAGTGATGAAAATAACTCTGAGGGTCTCCAGGTCACAGCACCCTGGCAATAAAAATCCAACAAGCACAATCAGTAAATTCAGAGTTATGCTGATATTCAGAGGAACTGGGCAGGATTACTACACACATTACCAAATCCTGCTCAGAGCCACCTCTAGTCTCTGTCCTGTGAGGGACAAAAGTGTCCTGTGAGGTGAAAAAAGAGAATTTCAGTCCCATGTCTGACGTGTGCACAGCCCAGCCCTCTATACCCAGTCAGACATGTCAGAACTTGTCCCAACTTTCACCAGTGGGTTCTGAAATGCAATATTCAGGTGGAGATGTTTCTTAGTTTCATCATTTTGGAGTTTTATGTTTTGCCTTGCACATTGAAGTGGAAAAGGAAGTGGGAGAGAGGAAACAAAGTTTTAGTGAGTCTGCAATAATTAAAACCAAGGCGTTTTCTGCAGATGTGGTGTTTTTGAGTTTTTAATCACTACAGCTTCCTTTACCACAAACAATCTTCCTTATTCAGGAGGCAGCCTATGTACTAAAGAGGAAATGAGGATTAAGAAATAATTGGTCTTCA